AATTACGGGAGCACTTAGGCTTGACTCTTTTGTCAAGAGTTGTTAACCCGCGCCCCACTGGGGGGGGGGGGCAGGCTAACAAGCTATTCATAGCCCCCTATTCATAGCCCGCTATTCATAGCCCCCCTATTCATAGCCCCGCTATCCATAGCCCCCTCCCGTTTTTCTGCCATAACTTCTAAACCGCTTGACGTATCGACGCGAAACTTTCAGTGCCTTCGGCTGCATCAATTTCACACCTTGCGTCAAAATCTGAACTTCGTAGCTACCATAAGTCGGCAGGAAATGACGTCAGAGTGACGTCATGTTCGGCCGATTTCGACACAAAACATTGAACCACGGCAATCGCTCCCAAGAGCTCAGTTTTTAACCTAGATCCAATCTCTTTGCATGAAAGGACTCAAAATAGCCTGCGCTAGCAAACTGCTATCTCGGATTTTCAAAATTTTGAAAATTTTGAAAATTATATACATTGAAATTCAAAATTCATGCTTTTATCTTTCTTTCAAAAAGTTTTTGACTTTTTGAAAATAAAAAAACAGAATACTTGTGATAGGACGCATGCTTATGACTTACTCTAGCAAGTTTTAGCCAGATACCTACCCTCAAAAATGTCCAAGTTATACGCATTATAACAAACATTTTACAATTAGAAATTTTTCAAATCAATTTTCAGTACGCATTTGACATCGTACACCAATATAAATAGCACCATCGTGTTCCTGAGCTCAAACTGCATCTCAGAGACCCCTTTTTTGTTAAAAAATTTAACTTTAAAATTTGACCTTTTTGCCTAAAAGTGGCCTGGCCTAGGCTAAATTCAACTCAAAATGACCTCGAATGACATAAATGACATCGAATTCGAAACCTATGGCCTAAAAGGACCATAAAACACCTGTCACGTGACCGATGCATGATGTAAGATTTCCGTGACCTGTAGGGGAGAGCGGGGAGAGTTGTATCATGTCCAAGTTGTATCAGGGCTAATTGTGCCAAACTTATCCAATGGATGGCGCTCGTGACGCGACCAGCCGACGAGGTTTTCCGGGCGCCATCTTTCCCTGTTCTGTCGTGTGGCTGGGTGGACGCGTCTCGAGGTGAGAGCCGATTTTATGTTTTTTTAATGTCATTCTAAAAAAATAAGTTGCAAGAAAATGTGTGTTTTGGGCATTTAGATGTGCACGAATTTGAAAGATCTCCGTAGCGGGGTGAGGGTAGGTTCTAAGGCTGCGTGAGTGAAAATGGATTTCTCCAGCTGTCCGCTGTTCTTGAGCACGAGGATGTTTTTTCCAAGATGGCGGCGAGGTACATGTTGTATCAGAGCCGGGTGGGGTATGTTGTAACATGTACGTATGTATGTATGTATGGGTATGTTGCTTTTGATCGCGAAAGCTAAGCCCTGGCTCGCGTTTCTAGGTAGCTAGTCAATACTCGTTCCATTTCGGCACAATGTGTTGGCTTCTTTGCTTTGCGGGTCACTTTTGCGTCTAATCTGTTGATGTTTCGTTCGTTTCGATGTTTCGTTCGGATTGACCTAAGTTTGGTCTAATAAAAGTGAAGCCTTTGAGCATATACATTGTATTAACCCTCGCCGGACCTATTGGTTTTCTACATACGCGCCGGCCGAGGGGGGGGGGGCGGGTACGACCCCCCCTCGCCGTTTCGCCCCTGGTGGAGCTAGCGCGTCGCGGAAAAAACGAGCGTGTGCGCCGTTACGAGACGCAGAGATTGGTACCCGATTTTAAGGTCCTAGGTCAACCGGTGACCTCTGAGGTCAGGTCAAGTGCCCCGAGGTATGGTTCAGTTTTTGGTGAATAACTTCGCAAAAAACGGCCGCAGAGCGCCGATTTTGGCAGCATCGTGTTCGTCTCGCTCAGGCGCGTCGAATGATATACTTTTTGTCCGGGTCAGGTCAACTTGGGGTGTTGACCTCAGGTCAAGGTCAGGTCAGCACCCCCAGGTCACGAAGTTGGTCGAAAGGGGTCATGTCGCATATCATTCGATTCGGCAGGTCTTCCTGAGTCCATTGGTGGCTTTCCCGGCTCGCTAGCTCAATTTGATCAAGAGTTATTGACGAAAAACTAATATGACCTTGATGACGTCATAAATGACGTCACGCAAGGTCAACATTGCAAAAGTGACGCATCTAACCTTGCAAGGAGTGCATAAAATCACGATTCTGTGTGCTTGAGATAGTTGGAGATCGTTCCCGGCGCCAGAATAGCAGTTTGAATTTTTCCCCATTGACTTATAATGGTGAGGTCACGAAAATGACCTGACCTCATATGACCTTTAGGAAAAATCCGAGATATACAAGTTGTGAGACTCATAATGGATACTAGATCCTGCAAGTTTCATTTCCCTGTGACATCTCCTCTGGTAGTGAGGGCGTTGCGAAGTTGCGACATCTGAAGACCGTGCAGAGGTTCACTTATGACGTCATAGGTCAGTGACCTGACCTGACCCAAAAATGCGGTTGATGTCAAAAGATGCGGCTTGGATCAAAGGTCAGGTATGCCAAGTTTCAGCTCTCTATCGCCAGCGTGTTCGGAGCTATCGCGAAAAAACCCTATGGGGGGGGGGCGGCACCCGCCCCCCCCCCTCGGCCGGCGAGGGTTAAACCCATTTAATGTTGTTGTTATGTTCAAAACCAGTAGCAAGCACACTCCCTGAAACGTGAAATAGTGATACAAATTTCCCCACCATGTGATACAACTCACCCAAGCCATGGGGCAAGTTGTATCAAAAACATTGTTCTATTCGGCAGACCGTAGAAGAAAAACTGGTAGAGGTAGCGGAAAAGTTACTTCGCACAAAAAAAAGCAGAAGAATCAAGGAAGGAGATAGTATGGAAATAATGAGTTTATCACGGATAGTTACGAGGTTATGGGTCTCGGAGTAAAAACTGATACAACCCACCCCACTCTCCCCTAATGACTTGACCCTGACCTGAAAATCAAAGTACAAGTTTGGTACCCTCAGGGTGTCTAAAGCAGCTGTTCACGAGCATGTGTAAACCAAAAATGAGCCTGATCTGACTTGTAAGACGGCGGCCAGAGCCCAAAATGTGAACAAGCCAAACAACGATAATTTTTATTTGACCTGACCTGTCCCTATGACGTCATCGGTGAGTTTGTTTTCGGGGCTATCAGACGCCGTTTGAATTTTGACGATCGGCCCAGTACATAGTTTTGGAGTTAGGAGAGGGGCTATGAATAGCCCCCCCCCCCCCCAGTAGGGAGTGTTATAGGCACACCCCAGTGAGGCGCGGGTTAAAAACATAGGCACAATTGTTTGAATAACGCCAAGGCAATACGCTGTCCTCAAGTTTCAGGTCTCACCCTCTCTGATGACCTCACCTTGAGGTAATTTTTGTTGTTGGACCTTTTGAAGCACCTTTTTAGAAGTCCAGCGCTCCAAAGGTCAGGTCCCAGGTGCCGGACGGATGGGTTAACCCTCTCCAAACTAAGAGCGGGAGGTGGTGACTAATTGATAGGTATGTATAACATTTTATGATTGCACGATTTCTAGAAACGCGTTAGCGTAGAGAACTAAGCGTTGACACAGACCTATGATTCACACCAGATATTTTGACAGCGCCACATTTTCAGGCAATACCTACCGGGACCTTATAAGGTCGCTTACCAAGCATCATAGCTAAGCCTCGTAATGGCTGACTCCTAGCTTTGGATTGTTTGTTGTCAGTGTACCTACCAGGAATGCTTTGCAGAAAGAAAGAAAAAAGATTTAAAAAGTAGCAATTATGGCATCATTACGTGCAGCTTTATATAAGCTACTTCCGGCCGAGGGGGGGGGGTGGCGAGTGCCGCCTCCATGCGCTTTTTTGCGATAGCTCGGAACACGCTTGGGATCGGGAGAGCTGAAATTTGGCATAGCTGACCTTAGATTCCACCAGGCTCCAGCACGACTAGGGGCGAAACAACGAGCGATGGGGAGGGGGCATACCCGCCCCTTCCCTTCGGCCGGGGCATGTGTAGAAATTAGAAGACCAATGGGTCCAGCGATGGTTAGGGCAGTTTTGTGGCGATGTGACCTCATCTCTTTATGAATGGGGAATTTGGAGACTACCGTTCTAAAATCATATTCTATCAAGCACATAATGGCACATAGGTAGTTCGTAAAACCATTCTTATGCAAGGTCAACGCCTTTTTGGGTTTTGGAACTATGCCTATGTTGGAGGATTATCAGGATTAGGATTAGGTATTATTGTCACAACTATGCCTATGTGTCGTATTTTATGGCAAAAAGTTCACCTGAGGTCATTTTTTGTAACCTATTCTCAATTAATTTGAGCTTGTGAGTCCGGAAATGCAACGCCGAATAATGACTTCAATAAAATGGAACATGACCTCGGTCGACTGATATCCTACCTACCTATCTGAGCTACAGACGCTCTGAGACAATTTTTGCGGAAGTAAAAAAAAAAAACGGACCATGGCACTCAGAGGTCAACACTTACTGGTTGACCTGAGACCTTAACATTGAGTGCAGGTCACCGTGTCTTGTAAGGGCACGGCACATGCATTTTTTTGTGAAATTCCGTCTTTGCGAAACGACGAGTGGGGTCGTCCTACTTACCTACATACATACCTACCTCGAGTAGCACGAGCCCGGCGCCCATGGCGGCGAAACGGGGAGGGCACCGGGGCACCGTGCCCCCCTTTGATTTAGGCATTTTAACATTATCCCTATGGCCTATGGGCGTTGCATGGAAAGAATGAGACCAAAGGTCGGCAGTGCTCCCCCCCCCCCCACACACACACACATTGAAGGTGTTCCGCCGCTACTGCCGGCGCCCCACATACGGCTAGAGCCGTATGAACTAAGGTATCCGATAGGATAGATGCGGCGATGATCAAACCAGGAAAAGCAGAACATAACAGAAACACATTCATTTTAAATTTGAACAAAATTTGCATCACTTTGTGGAGCACATGATCATTATTTTACATCTCTAGTGTGAATAGGTGGCGCTACTAGTCCCTTCAATAAGAAGACCAAATGAGGCCTTCCATTGTAGATCTTGATAATGATTTGAAGAAATTTTCGTGGTCATCCTTTATCATAGCCCTAGGAACCCTTGATGTCCATGCATCTGGATAGAACACAGAAACACTGGCGGTAGTAAAGAAACAAGTCAACTTCAACGAATGCGCTTATCTTTGGAATTAGTAGCAGCGTGTCAATGCGTTTCAATCGCGGCAGTCGCACACTTCGCCAGCTGACCGCGCCCAGGTTGCAGTGTTACTCCGTGATCAGGAGGCTTCAAAATGGCTCTTAGTGACAGGAGGAGCCTGAATTTGAACCAGGAACAAGTGGAAGAGCTGAGCGAACAATTCGGCACAGTAAGTACCTATGTTTTCTGTTATGATACTTTCTAAACACGTTGGTATTTTCGGTATGAAGTGCCGCATGCGCCACCAACGCCGCAGAGCAGGTGTGATGTTTTGAAATTGTTGTTTGTGTCGAGTATTTATGATCGTATAGCTTGAAATAACTTACTTCCAATGCTGCATATTTGTTAATTTATGTATATCTTAAAACATCTATTTGATGTTTGATAACCTAACACTGCAAGCTAGTAAAACTAAATGTTGGAGCTCACTGATGGTAAAAATATAGATGTACCAATGATTTGAAATTTCCATCTGCATTAACTCTCACGGTTACTACTCTTGTTCCATCATATTAACGCCTGACTAAATTCATTTGAATTTGGGTGATAAATCCATCACGTGGTGGGCTGCATGTCGGAATGCAAAATTGATGCTGGCTGGTTTAACTGCTGTCATGTTGTGCTGCAAGCAGTATTAGGCAAGAAGTTAATGTTCTATATCATATTTTATTTTGCCTGCTTTTTGTCAATGTCATTGTCAAAGTGAAATTCAGAACTTAATGGCTGTAAGAAGTCCAGGTTGAGGTGTGGTGTGATGCCAGATATTATTTTGATTTGAGCTTCTGTACTTTTCCACGTATTATTGGATGCATATCATTTGTTAATTAATTTGAAAGTTTTGCTAGTAGATGGCATCAAAAACTAGTTAACTACTCACTCTGGTAGATAGTTATCCTTTGAATTAAGTACATTGTTCTACAAAAGCTCAGGGTAGCTATGATGGGACATGTGATAACACAGTCTGGAGAGTGCAGATTGCAGCAAGCATTATCAAAGAATTCTGCTTTGGCTGGTTGACTACGAATGGTATAGCTAAAATATAATTGTACTATGAATATCTGCAGTATTGAGCTTTTTTTGTAGATACTAATAGCATCATTTGAACTTGACAACACCACCCTTTGGTGTTGTCAAGTTCAAATGATGGGGCTACTGTCTGGTTTCACTTTTTTTTGCATCATAGGTAGTAGGTACTGAAAATGATCCACCCATAATCCAGGTCCATCCATCCAGAAATGAATGCTGATGGCTGAAATTGGCAACCAACCTTCATTCCCTGTCTAAGTTCAAGATTTTCTTTGTTTTGTTGGAGGCTCTGTTTATAAATCTTGCCAGTACCTCTGACTGATGCATTGAAATGTAGCAGTCTAAGCATTTAATAATTTCTTGAGAAAGCTTGCAGCAATATTGGTGTATGTGGAACATCTGCTATAGTTACATGTCTCTCCTGTTTATGCCATAACTGGTGTCATGTCTTTCCCATGTTTAAATGTTTTATTTTCTTGCATATGCTAGCTTTAATAGTTGTGCTGTTTAGGCAGGTATTCCTGGGCTTCAATTATCTTTTGGATGCTGTTGGCATACTAATTACTACGCATAGGTATAATTTGCTGATGTTCATACTTCAATCTACATTAGCTCCATTTTGTGTGATTCAAGTACCTAATACCAATACCTATCAGTAAAGAGGACCGCCCTGTTTCCTTATGGAGGAAACATGATGGTCCTCTTTATTTTTCACTATCATGAAATATGACACCATCTCTGAAATCGGGCTGATTCGAGCTTCCGGGACTATCAGTAATCTCGATACGATGAAATATGGCGGCCAAATCTCGCTGGTGTCAGACAGTGTTTACCGGCCCGTGGCGGGGCTGCGCTATCGGCCTGATCCGGCCGGGGGTCGGGCGCCGTGCGTGCAGCTCCGACCGGACTCTGTGTGAACACCTGACCTTGGCACCGGCCTGGTGCCGGATGCGTGCGCACGCACAGGTGTGCCCGACAGATAACACGAGCGTGATACGTGGTGGGCTATGATACAGCACTGGGTGTGTTACCACTGGGTGTGTTACTGCAATGGTTTGTCACCCCTATGGGTGTGTTACCAAGTCTTGCAGGACGTGCTTCCTGCCGGGTGTCTCCCTAACAGAGGGAAAGAGGGGGCAGGGGAGGACAGGGACGTTGACTGGGCTGGAGCAGAGAGGCGTCGTGTTGTGGTTTTCACAGTGAATAGCCAGGCGAGACGGTCGTTTCCTCCAACATTCAGTTTTACTAGCTGGCCATGTAAAAACCGCAGATAGGACGACGGCGATCTGCCGCCGAGGACAGTCTTATCCTGGCTCAGATACCGGGTCTAAGTTGTCAGAACCTTATCGTAATTTGGGCCATGTCTTCCTATCGTGTCTACCCAGGTGGCGAATCTGAGGTGATATCTCCTGTTCTTGCGCTTAGATGTGACTTACGCACTTCCCAGCCTGACATGCCTGCCGTTGGCACGGTCCAATTAGTCAAAATTTCTTTCTTTCATCTAAACGCTCAGTGATGTGGTATGAAATGCTTTGAGAGAGTGACTACTCTTATAAATGTTCTAGTCAAAAACTTAATAGCAACGGTTCTTGTATGCACTCTATGAAGAAATTTTCGTTCTTTCAGCCTTATCATACTTTTTTAAACATTCAGTGGATGTGTTTACAAATAGGTCAACGCGGCTCAGTTAGCAGGAAACGCAGAAGTGCTTATTCTTCTCTCGTATCTCTGCCTGATGATCTCGGTATCTACCCGGCACTGCGTCTAAGACAGCAGCCGTGTATCGCACTCACGGATGGTTGTCAGGTGGCCTGTGCCCCTCCCACGCACCGCCCTTACTTGTCTGAGTCGGTATCCGGGCACATCAGCCCGATATCTCGTCGGCCGTCGTATCGGGCCGCCGTTTCGAGGGCCGCCCGGGCTCAGAGGGCAGATGTCTCCCAATGGACGGACTGAGACGTTTTTACATTGGTTCGTGCCGTCGCTGACTGCCGCTGGCGTCACAGGTTTCATTAGTGCCGTCCATGATCGGCCCCACGCACGCCCGGCTCGCTTCCTAACTGACCTGACGTGCCCGGCGGTGATGGAGCCAACTCGGCTCGACCGGGGGCGGCTCGGCTGGAGGCGGCCGCGGCTGCGGGAGTCGGCAGGGAGCCGCTGGCGCCGGTCTCGGCCTCCCGCCGCGCCCCGGCCGGTGCACGCCGCTCGGAGACGGCGTGGGCGAGCCGGCCGGCGGCGGCAGACGCAGCCCTGCCGGCCGGACGGGGCGCGAGCCGGGCCGGCCCGCACGGCGCGCCGCCGCGCCGCCGCGCGACCTTGGCAGCCCGGTCACGTGGTGAGGAGCCGCGCCGGCCGGCTGTTCATGCGGAGGGGCGTGCTGACTCCTGACGCGCTCCGTGGAGCGGTGGTAGCGCTGCTTCCACAGCGCGCCGGATGCCAGCGTCCGCCGTCAGCGCTGCTCTGCACAGGTTTTCTGAAAAGACCCTCAGTCTGACGCGGTTTTCCTGCCGGTGGATTTCCACCGCTGCTGCCGCGGGAAGGCCACGCTGCCCTGGAATGCTCCAGAACGACGCCGGGACATGACAGAGCGCAGTGCGGATAAACAGCTGATACGATTCAGAGGTGTGGAATTCGGTCATGTGACCTGCGGTATGTTGAGTGCAGCGCAGCACCTTTATGGTGCACGCTATCCTTGGCAGTCATACGAGCGGATCGGGACGGGGTATTACCGGGTTATGCCGGGGCCTCTCGAGCAGGCGCTTTTGCCGATTCGCGCTGGAGTCAGAGGCACACAGCCGAGCGGGCGGGCGAGGTGTGGCTTGCACAGACACCGACCGGCGCAGGGTCACGGCCACAGACCCGGAGCAGCTTCCCGCTGCCGATCGGGCCGCCTGCAGCGCGCGCCGCGCCGCTGCCGAGCGGCGGCCCGCGCTCCGAGCCTCCCGCCGAGCGCGCCCGTTTGTGAGACGGCCGCGGGGCGAGGGCGGGCTGCGGCAGCCGGGTTGTTTACGCACGGTGACGTGACAGGATTTGCGTAGTGCCGGGTGGGCGGCCGGTGCGGTGACGACACACCGCTTGGTGTTTTTGTTGCTGATCGGAGTAGGTGTCGGCAGATGTCTGAGGGCTCTATCCGACCTCGGCAGGCAGTGTACGCAGTTTGTAGATCTGTCTCTGGAGGTGTCTGACATCCGCATCGCGTCTGTCTCGCGCGCTCCGCATCTGCCTATCGCGTCATTCCGGAGTATCCCGCCCGGTGTGAGGTCGATCTCGCCGTCAACTGTCGGTGGTTGGGGCTCGACCCGGCACCCCTCGCTCTCGAAGCGCGCTCTCCAGTCGGATACCCCGTCCGTCCGATTATCATGACCAGCGAGGCAAGCGGCCGAGGTCGCTCACCCTGGGCCGTGGGCGCGCGCGGCGCGAGACCCATCCATTAACGCGCGCCTTTCCATGCTGGGAGCTGGCGGCGGCACGCTCGCGCCCTCCTCTCCCTCCCGTCTGGGCGCGTATTATCGTGCCGGAGCCGTGGCTCGCTGGAATGCGGAGCGGCTTACAGAAGGTATGGAGTTCCGGGCACTGAGGCGAGGGTGAGAGAGTGGCGGGCGGGGGTTCAGGCAACGGCAGATCCAGATGACTTGAACCATTCCCGTGTAGATAAACTATGATTTGTTTAGATACAGATGGCGTCATTTTCAACATTTGCTTATCGCGATGCTGACTGGCTTCAGTTTTATTTTGCCCCAAGACTTCCGTCAGGACATTCTCATACCACGCTTTTCTTCACCCGAAATTGTAAAGTCCCGCTATGATGACAGGGCATGGTTTGGGGCGGAACTATCGTCTCCGCCACGAGAGACCGTGGGCGTTGTGTCTTATGTAGAGCGCCGGGATGCTCACAGCTGGTTGGTTTCCTGTCCTTGATGGAAGGGGAGGCCGCGAGGAATGTGGGCTAAGCTCGCGGTGTCTCGGTACCGTTAATCGTTTTGAATGTCATCTTCCGTGATACTTCCCACGGAATGTGGTGAATCGGCGCAACGTCCTGAAACGAAACCAGATAGACCATCACGCGATGGGATGTCTCAGATTGGCGGCAGTTATTCATTCGGCGGCGCTACTTTTGTAAATCACGTCTGGTATATGGTTTTC